GGCCCAAGGCAGGGAACAACCCAGGACGGGTACCAACCACAGGGCCCAAGGCAGGGAACAACCCAGGACGGGTACCAACCACAGGGCCCAAGGCAGGGAACAACCCAGGACGGGTACCAACCACAGGGCACAAGGCAGGGAACAACCCAGGACGGGTACCAACCACAGGGCACAAGGCAGGGAACTACCCAGGATGGGTACCAACCCATCACAAGGCAGGGAACTACCCAGGACGGGTACCAACCACAGGGCACACTCACACACCATTTCCTTCCATTTATTAATAGCTAATTATCAATCTAACTAATAAGCTCATTTTCGTGGCTGACGTTCCTACTAGTAGTAGGATAATAGACATGAGACATTTTGAGAAGACAGTGGTCACTGAGGCTCTTTAAAGCTGCATTTTGTGAAGAAATTTATTTAAAATATTTTCTAGAAATTTGTAAATTTCATAACCTCACTTCTGGGGCAAAGAAATGACCAGCTTTAAACCTATTTAACCACAGACTACATCGTAATCACTTTTAATAGCAATAATTATGTTTTGATAAATAGAATGTAAGCCTGTAACTAAATTTATACATACAGTATGAGGTGAAAATTTAGCATCACACATGTCAACCCCCAGCACGAAGTCAGGTTAGCATTAGCCTCCAGCAGCGAGCTGGACCGTGAAATGCAGGATGTCCCCAAAGAGAGGTCAGTTACGACAGCCTGGCCGACAGATAGGAGGCCCATCAGAACCATGGCAGACTTTGTGTACACTGAGCCTGTCAATGTTGTCGGGAATCTGGGGACCTTTCCTCAGTGCGAGGCAAATGGACGTGTGTTTGCTCCTGACAGAATCAGGCTTGAGACCCAAGGGCTTATTTTTTTGTCTTTATACTGGGGAAGAGGCAATTCACACTTACTGAAAGAGTCACTTTCATTCATGCATTTGGAGAACAGTGAATAAATCAGAATATAGCTTCATTTTACAGGGATATTTTATTATCCATATACATATGCATCCTTATCTCTAATTTAGAGAAATTTACATCTGCACATAGCCAAAGGGGCGATGTCATTAAGCATAGATGGATGCTTCCCAAAGAAATATAAATTATGTTTACATACATTTCTAATAGGGTAACAGCAGCTCCACCTCTGGGACTGTGAACTGCAGCATTTCATTACAAATGCAGTTCCCATGTAAATGTCTAAGTAAGTGTTTTACACGCCGACCTAAGCCTCCGTCTCGTCTCCGTCACAGAGGCACCTTTTGGCACACATGGGAATTCTGGGATGCATGATTTAAGGTGCGAATGGAGGTGGGATTCGAGATGCGTGAGGTAAAAAGACATGCACTTGCCCCCCCCCCCCTCCCAGGAGAGATCAGGATACTGCCTACGGAGCAGGGGTGGAGTATAAAATCAGATGTCACATCTCAGTGGTTCCCTGTTTGGTTTTAAGGCCCGTACTCCCCTGCTATCTGTGTTAGGCTCGATTAATAGGTTATAACCCCCCCATGGGAAATGAGGGTTATCTACCCAACCACATGACTCGAGTCCCTGGAACTCCTGAGGACAGCCTTCCATCATGTATTTTCACCTGATGCCCCATCGGATGCCGTCCCCTGTCTCCTGCTGCAGATCAGTTACTTCAGTGTTATTTTACAGCCGAGAAAGCCACCCCTTCCCAGGGCAGAAGACAAGGTCATTCCTTCTCAATCTTACCACATAAAGCTTTGTGAGAAGAGTGTAGCAGGCTGTACAGTAGCAAAGATAATGTTCAGGTGATACAGAGGTTGCTTAAAATGAGGTACTTGAATTGCTCAGAGAAAATATCTGCATTAATGGATTAAAAAAATAAAAGTATTTAGAATAGTATTTAAAAATAGTTTTTCTGAATTGTCCACCCCCCCCCCCAATAAAACTGTAGTTTACTGTACTGTAGATCACAATGTATTTTACCTTCCCTTGGTTTTCAAAAAGAATGAAAAAGGCATCTGTGAGTTTTTTAATTTCACTGGCAATTAATGCAGTACAAAGGCTCTTCAAATATAAAATGTAAAATATAAAATAAGCACTAAACAATTGGCTTCTCTACATCAATTTTTGTGATTGGGCCCTCCAAAATAAATCAATCAATAAAAAATCTCAAGATTGCACCAACTTTGCACAAACAGCATCTGCCATGCATTGGTATATACAGATATATAAGTACTTGAACCATTTCAAGAAAAAAAATCAACAAGAAAAAAGAAGAAAAAGCTAATGTTACACTGCAGCCAGACGTTCAGTCCTGCTATAACGCGTGATCCCCCCCGCGAGAAGATATCGCGGGCAGCTCGTGCTCCTGTCTTCTGCGCAGTGATACGACTGGTGTGTGGAGTTCGGTAGAAAAAAACTGTTCGTACAGTACATTACACTGCTCACTGCAAAATCTGTGGATTATTTTAAATAAGTGGGTCATGATTTTTGGTAGGGCACACTGCTGTTGGATTTTTCAAATGTATTTTCTGGCGCTTTAATCAGCACAGAAAGAATGCCAACACACCCGACATTTCTGTGGCCGATATGTTCAAAACTAGGCAACTCGAATAACCAAGACAGACAGATAGCACTCAAGCCCTTCTAAAGTGCTGATACCGACAAATTGTAGTGTTAAACGTCAACACAGCAAGAGAGCGTATAACATTTGAAGTTGACTAGCCTGGCTAATCAGGCTGAAATTATTATGTAATAGAGCCATAGGATAAAACTAAAACTAACCTTAATATATATATAACTAACCTTCTTTTATTTGACTTTGAAAAGGTGTCGCAAGTGCGCTAAGGATGTACTAGAGCTGAGGCCGAGTCGACTCCTGTCGCGAGCATCCTGATCATCAGTAGCTGTTAACTTCATCAACCTGCTGCGAGAATGCGTTGATTTTAAAGGCGTTTTACATGATTACTACACAATCCTCCCACCCCCAAAGTTTAATTCTCTACTTGAGAGTTATTTTTAAAAGTAGCAGCAAACTTTTAGAAAGAGTTTAGAACGAGTGAATCGGGCATGAATACAAACAGTTGTATCAGCTATAAAAAGCAATGGTTTTAAATTAGTTTCTGGCAGTTCGCTACTTTAATCGATCCAGCATGTCCGCAAAGTAACTTTGTATTACTAAACTCCAAGGACCAGAAAGAAGTTCTGATATGTTCTCCGTCCTATCTCCATCTGCAAGGCGCGTGCACGGTTCTGTGAACATCCGCCACATAATTCACGTGGGGAGTACGGAAGACTGACAGGCGAGTATACGACTCGAGCAGAGCCGAAAATAGTCGAGCGTTGCCGAACGGTCCAACTTTTCCTTACCTACAGCTGCGCTCGCGTGCGGTGAAACGTTGACGTCAGAACACGTTCTCATGCCCGTTTGCAGTATCAACCAGCCCATTTGGGAAACGAAGAGGGGGGAAAAAAATCACACCTGAGCTCCTCATCTTACAGCTGAATCACATAAAGGTCACGTTATTCATGGATGCTAAACTCAGAATGGACCAGTGCATACTGTTATTTTATATTCACATATATTGGCAAGTGCATTTTCAAATCGGAATAAGCTGAAAAGTGATTGTAAATTATTTATTTAGTTTTATTTCTGTGTTTATCCCCTCTCTTCAACTTTGTTTTTTTGTTGTTAATATGCTTGTCGTTAATAGGCAATGTTAAAGATCTCTTGATCTCTATTTCCAGCCTGTTGTCGGTAAGTGCTGAGAGTGGACTTCGAGTTTACAGTCGCCCTTTTGTTAGCGCATGTCAGTTTGAATAGACCTTGCCGGTGAATGATTATAACCTGCGGTTAAAACATAATGCTATCATTCCACGTGTGGGTGGCTGTGAGTGAATTGTGCGTCGGTCTGATGTGCTGTATTCCGTCTTCGGTAATCGTGGTAACAGCCGACTGTTTTTGATTCACATACTAAGGTGACGTGTGTATGGGCACCAGTAGCCTCCGCTACCCCTCCCCCAACACAGTCACTAGTATTCCTCAGGCTGGAGCAGAAATGCCAGAAAAGGTTGAATATAACAGCAGCAGACAGGCAGAGACACACGGCTGACACAAGACGGCAGCTTGTGTGCATACTGCTGGAAGCTGTCAGGTGGGTTCGGGGCCTTACTGGCCTGCCTGTCATGTGATCACTACCTGTTCCCCCACAGAAAGTGCTGTGCCTGTGTGTGTGTGAGAGAGAGAGAGAGAGAGAGACTCCTCTGCAATGGTGGTAGATTTGCATTTGTTTGGCCTTGCCGCTAGAAAAACATATTGAAAAGCACTCTTGTCTCTGTAATGAATAACCCTAGTAGGCGACTCCCTGAAGCACAAAGCTAGAATGTGTAATTCAGGTGTCTGAGTCACTGGTCTGCTCCTGCAAGCCTTACCTCGCTAACATTTAGGGCTGCTGGATTATTGCCCTTCCATCCATCCATACTGCTTAGCCAGGATAGGATCCTGGAGTCTATAGCAGGGAGCAGCAACAGATCCTGGCAAGGGCAAGATGGGCAACAGCCTCTTCTGGGAGGGGGGGATGGAGCTTTCCTGGGGGGCACTATGTTGGCTTCCACCACCACTGCCAAGGAGCATTGGGCATAACTCAGGGGAACACTCTGGATGGGATATGAGTCCATTGTCGGGCACAGACACAGAGAGAGTGTAATTGCTGTTGGATTTAGTATATTTAGTATAATTGCATACTAATAGCCTAAACATTTGTCAGACTTTTATAAATACTAATTGACCACTCAATTCCGAAAAATGCAAGAGTATTTAAGGGACAGTAGCCCAAACATCAAATAAACTGCAAATTTAATTAATTTGATTTATTCAAGGGGATAACTGTGGCATACTTTGATGGTCTTGTTTTGACATGAAACTATGTAAAAAATAATAATAATAATCCATCTGGGTGCAATGTCAGCCATCAGATGAGGCCTGAATTTGGGTCACGGTGTTGCTGGGAGGAAAACAAGCAACATTTTTTTATTTAGACTTTTTCCAGATCAATTTCATGCCTCCGCCACCTGGATCCGTGTTTCATGTCGTTCTTTCTCCCTCCTTACCGATTCTAAGAAGTGGATGTAAATAACATTTCTGTGAAAGTGGGCGCCTAACCCTGGAAGCACCTTCACAAGGAAGTCAGAACCTGCAGTCCTCAAAAAACCGAAAATAACGTGGAGTGCTGCTCCAGCTGCTTTTCCCTGACAATCAAGTCAGATTAAGTTTGTGAACCTGTTTTTTTTTTTTTATGTTTTTTTTTTTTATCACAGACACACACACACACACACACACACACACACACACACACTCCCACACCAATTAAATGAGAACAGAGGATGGTGATCGATACTTCCCTACTCCCACATCAATGTATGGGACCTGAAGAAAACTATACTCACAAACCCAGTCACAATGTAAGCAAAGGATTGAGGATGCTGAGGACTCACTAAGAATGGAAAAACTGCTACACTTTAAGATAAAAGGGTACAGTTCTAGTGCAGTTTTGTTCCCCAAGACACAAACAACTTTAGTTTACCCCTAATGGTACAAAAATGTTCCCCGGAGTCCATTTCTGTACCTTAAATTAAACTACAAGTACATTAACCTACAGCTAGGGTACAATTGGCAGACCCTTGAGTGTACAGCCCCCAGTGCCAATTAATTGTACCCTCAAAGGTATAAATTGGCAGTTTTTTCTGACAACGTATGTGCACTGTGTCACTTAAATAGTTTCTGCGTATTTTGAAGAACTTCGAAGAATGCTAAAGCAGATGTACTGATGTTTAAGTGATGTTGTCATATGTATTTGTGTCACTTGATATTTGATTGACTAAAGGAAGACAGGTTAACAATGGTCAACCTTTGTTGGTTCATAAAACAGGTTCATTTCAAATCACTTTTCCTTTGGGTTAAATCAAGCCCAGTGTTCATATGTGACCTAAAATACAACGTGAATGTAGTGAAATAAATGCATTCATTCATCTCAGGTCACCAAAATGCCATTGATCAAGACTAGATTTTATACACCGATGGACATAATTCATCATTCATATTATTTAGTATTAATTCCATTTAATTTGGGCCAGTTGCATATCTATCATGCAGTTCAAGGACCTTCCAAAATAAACTTATTTGAATGCTAAAAAAGTTTTTTTAGGACAGCTAAGGAATTGGCTCCGTGGAATATTAAATTTAGCATTTGCCATGTGTCTGATGAACTGTCATATACACAAAGAAACATCTAAATTCAGTAATGAATCGCATGTATTTAGCCCAGCCCTGTAGACACAGCTCTATGTATTGTGGAAACAAAGTATCAGATCATAATCGTGAGTGACTTATTGCAAAACAATATCTGTTATTTGTCCGAGGGCCTCTGATATACAGTATCATGGGTAATAGAAGGAAAAGCAGAATGTATTGTTATTGTTGTATGTTGTTTTCTGCACTATTTTGTTCATCTGAATAAATTACTTTGGCTAATTACCCTATAATGGCTGCTGTTGTAGAGAGACCGACCAGCAGCCTCTATTTGGGGTCGGTGCTGTGACAACAATGCGACAATAAAGATTTGCAGCCCTCAAAGTGAAGTATTAACTCTTGGAACTTCACCCACCTATGTTTTTGCTGCGCTAATTACAGGTGTGACCTTATCCTGCGTTGTGTGCGGTCTTTAATCAGATTGTGGTATACACGTCACCCGTGGCTGCTCAAACAGAGATAATTTAATGAATTAAACTCCGGTTATGAGACAATTATATGTCACGGCCCTGCATTTCCTCAGACAAATTGCCCTAATTAAGACTGTATATTCATACCCTGTTTGTTTCTTCCTACGAGCACGTCCACGCTTCTCACGCTTGTCGCAATCTGAAATTAGTTTTATTAAAACCTAGAGCAAATTATTTTTAATGCCACACGCAGGCGAGCCTGTGATCCTTCACCGTTTTTTTGTTCACTCAGGCTAGACAGGAGTAACAATAATTAAAATGTAATGAAATCTATTTTCCTGTTCATTGTGTCATTGATTATTCTACTATAAATATAGATCAGAGTTAACCACGGTCCAGGTTTTTTGATCCGACTAACCCTGATGAGCACAGTAAAGTAATAGATTTGGTGTGGGATACAGTGCTCAGCCCCCCCACCCTGAAAATAAACAGACAACACATTTTGTGTATGTGCTGCTTGTGCTGATCCAGCAAAGATGTGAAATAGCAGTTTGTCATGCCACTGCAGCACTAGAAGCTTAACTATGCAAAAAACTTTTCCCATTCGCTGAATTAATGTAAGACATTAACAGCACATGTGAAACAAACAGAGGAAACACAAACAACGTCAAGAACAATAATTCAGAATGGGTTTCGGTTAGTAAGGTGTTTTGAGAGGGTAAATAGCCACAGTGAGACTGTTACCTCAGTCTCCCAGTCCACCATCAACAAATATAACTCTTTATCCTATTGGCCAAGGCTCCCAGGAGTGGCATTCAGGTTCACCATTAATAAAGCCAGTTTTGTGAATGTATGATCTTTTTTTTACTTTAACAATCCTTTGGGTTTTCAACAGCACCTTGCACAAATGTATTAAATTTATAATATCTTTCATTACTCATACCGTGCCTCTGTGTGATACAATATTACTGAGGACCAGTGCGATATGCTGGTGCTGAATTGAATCAATGCATTTCTGCTAAGAATATTACCAGGACAGACAAACTGCACATAAATATTGCCCTGTGGCTGGTTTCCTGCATTCCTACCATAAGGAACACCACTAAGGAAGCCCAAATGTTCTCAGAATATAGAGATTTTGAGTGGATTATGATTATTAGGGAAGTTAATGAGAAAATGGGAGTTTCAACTGACACCATTAAAGTGATAAAGAAGGGATTGAACTAGCATTTGGAGGGGATGATGGTCAATTGGGTTCACACTCTCCACTGTGGGAATCCATCATCAGGCACTGTCATCACCATCTGGACATCACCCTTTATATGCAAATTCACTCAGAAGACATATACACTGTACCTTATTGGAGAGGATCTTATTTAGTATAAAAGGGGATAAAGACCTTTATTTTGTATTTGAGCTGCCTTTCAATATCCATTTTATGTCTACACTATATCACATTAATTTTTTGCTGTAAATTGATTCAGTTTTCTAAGACCCACGTTGGTTAGAGATTCTGCCAGTGGATTCCTTAACCTGCCTTACCAGCGATGTACCGCAGTCGGCTCTCACCCCAGAGGCA